AAAGTAAGGCGATAAGGAAAAATGTCTGTAAAGTACTATTGTTCGTCAAGTATAAATGCAATTATTGCCGAGAATACAACACTTGCAAATTTGATTTTGGTATATTTGTACTCACAGTATTAACAAGGTTACGATAGTATGTTTTCCAAGAAATAATAGCACTAATATACCACGTTTTGAATCACTTTTATCGTATTGACCATAAACGATGTTTACTGTACAATAGCACACACACATAATTCGCGGCCCTGTATCTCTTTTATTTTAACAAATAGCTATAACAAACCCTATATATTTTTAAATCGCCGCTCAAACTCTATCAAATGACATTATTAGATCGTCTCCATAGTAACATGTCAAAATTGCTATAGTCAACTGTTTTTGTTCAAATGGCACACTATATATTTTTTTATCAATTCAAGATATTTTTTTTCTGCGTGCAACTGTGTAAGGAAGTCTATAATTTCATTAGAAATATTGCTAGAAAAACAGCAAAAAAGATGCACCCTACTTTTCCTAGCTTTATTCTGAAAAATGATAGCCAGCCGCGAAAACAAGTTACTATGTTTTTTAAAGTAACATATTTTATATTTAATACGATAATAATATAACAATGGAAAACAGTACTTATTTCAAATGTTCAAAATGACATCCATTTGCTTCCAAACACAGAATAGTTCTGTGTAACACTCAAACACATTCTAGTGTATATTCATTTAATCTCCGACATTCTACTCTTATTCTGTTTTTAAGGTCGTCAATATCATTTAAAGGTGAAGAGTAAATTTTTTCTTTTAGGTAAGGCCAAAGAAAAAAACCTATAGGAATGAGATCCGGAGATCTATAGCAGGCCATTTAACATAATCGAATGTTCTTAATCTCTTACCCTTCTGTGTTTAAAAACTACCGTATTCGGTCACTAACCTAACTTCTACTGTGTTTTTAATCTGTACTGAACGACAAAACGTTAAGGTTTTTTTCACTATATTGAAACAGTTTTTAGTATTATGTTCAATTAATTATTCAGTTTGTAGTACGTAGTGACTTATTGTGTGACTTATTGCTTTTCTAAGAGTAGTATGATACCTACCTATTTAAAATGAGAGTACGGTTAAAAAAATACTCACTCATCCGTCTATAGTACTTTGTTAAGTTGAGATCCGTTGCACAGTTTTGAAACCAATTACAACGTTCAAGACGACTGGGGAAATCAGCTGTTTCGCTTCAACGTTCGAACGCTTTGTAGTCCGCCGGCCGGCGGTTCCCTCTTGGGGACATGGTTAAAATTTATAATATTATGACTGAATCACCCTGTATACTAACATTTTCTTAATACTCTTCTTTTCGGCTTTATCTGAGATTCAATCTGACCTCTATAAGAGCTAACTATCGCGCGCGTTATCACCCCTGCAGCTCTCTGCAAGTGGTTGCGCTCTACCTCGAAAAAAACTCGTGCTCCCAATTTTTCCCTCTTTAAATCATTTACCCAAAAATTGATTTTTTCAAAATTATAGAGTGGCGTTACCTCTTAAACTAATCATTCAATTGAATTACTGTTGCATTTATTGTGGATTTTGTGAAATACACTCACCGCCAAAAAAAATCGGCCACCCTAAAATATTTCACAAAGGTCCCCTTATCTGCTTAGTTTAGAAGCTCTCGCACCTAAGCTAGTTCTTTTTCATTATCAATGGTTTAAGATGGATTACTCCACATTTACGTAAGTCTAATTTTTATTTTACAAGCCGAAATTCCTATTTCAACGACATTAATATTCTCACGTAAATCACACAGCAGCAGACTATGCATCATTTCTTATCATTAATGTTCTCCAAAAGGCAAGTAGACTTATTGTTTTTGGAATTAAATTTGACAGTCAATGAAAGTTTCACAACAATGCCGTTAACTGCACTGAAAGAAATGGGCTTATTAAACTGTTTATCTAGAATAATGTGTATAGCGCATATTAAAACTTTTATAACCAATATACAACTTTTATTAAAAAAAAAGCAATCATCTCCATACTCATTATTCAATCAGTTTAACTGGAAGGTGCTTAATACACCTTATGCATCTATGAAATAAAGGTTATAATGAATTACTTATACATTATTAGGTGTTATAGACTTTATATTCCAATTGTATAGTAGGGAAGATTTGTTGTATAAAGACCAGTATCCGAATTTGTATATAACAATTGTATTAACAGAATTATTCGTTCTTATACTGAATATGTTTCCGTTTTTAACGTGTAAAACGCATCTTATAATGGTTAAGTGATCGTCACCTCTCGGTGCATAATCGGTTATGATCGTTGTTAAGTTATATTCATAGTCTTGTAATAATAATCATATGTCAGACCCGAGAGCGAAGTGCGCCGACTCAATAAGAAACCTGGCTATTCCAGCCGCTGATTTAGGGTTCGCCGCACGAGCTCATCCCTTCTAAAATTTCAGTAGCATGCTATGCATGAAGCAGAACGGTACTCAACTATCTTATACAGTCCACTTTTATTGTCCATACATGTTCAATCATTGTCAAAATAAACACACAAAACCACAACGTCTTTATTATCTTTACTCAAGAAGAGAAAATACAACAATCGTAAAATTTCCGACAGTCCGCTGTGCATCGACTTACACACGTCTAGTTTGATGAAAATGGACAGTATATGCACATGTTTTGTGGGATACATGATCATATCGCGTTGTGTGAAATGGAAAATTATTATGTAAGTATCTAACTGTTTTATGGCTTGTAATTGTTTTGTTTTTTCAAATGTAAATCTTGTCTAAATCTTAAAAATTATTATTTTGTAGGTCCTATTAGAAATCGCTGATGTTAAGTTTTACATAAGATGGAGGAACAGAAGGTTAACGGTGACAAAGAAGAGCATGGGTATAAAGTCAATCAACCAGAGGAAATAAAATTATATGGAAAGAAGCTCAACCTTTCTGGGGATGCTTCATTCTTAAGGTGGAAGAGTTATAGTGCAAATTCTCATGTAATACAAGAAAATACGGGTGCATCGTTGCTAAGAAAATAAACTGGACAGTTTTGGGAGCGATTTGTCATCATTTTTAATGCTTAAAAGTATGTTTTATGTATGTTTACATTAGAACCTTAGCTTGTAATTACAGTTATCCAATAAAATTTCTGAAAACTTAATGACATATGTTTTTAACTCATACAGAGTATACAACAGTTTAATACATTTATTATTATAAAACTTATAACCAGTACTAGATGTTCTAATAACGATATGGAACACTTTAATAACAGTTATTGCTATTATTTCGTAAAGGGTATAAAAAAAATTGTATACTAGTTATACAATAATTTAATAAAGAATAAGGTTTATAGTCACTATACATGTGTGCTAGCAATACGCGTTTTATATCCAATATTCACCTGTTTAACTGTCACATATAGTACACAATGGTCTTATAATGGCATATAGAATTCTAATAAATAATAAAACGCATTTCTTTCAGTGTGTTGCTGACGCTTCTCAAGTTGTTGCATTGATTGAAGATAGACGTATAGTCAGCGTTATGTGTCTCGTTCATATACAACGTTCATAAATTTAGAATTATAGAAGAAATATTTTGTGTGAATGCTGTTGAAAATATATTTCTCTGCGCCCAATTCGCCTAACACAAGACAGATTCTTTTTAAGATACATCAATCAAAAATGTACTTCCCAGCCTGTTGGAATCAACACATTGGCGAAGGTACCCTCAATAGTTGCTTCATTCCTGAATATCGCAAATCTAGAAGCATATACTGGCCATTGTATGAGGTGCACTTCAACAACTTTATTGACCTATAAAGGTGCCGATCTTACAACCATCAAACGGCATGGTGGATGGAAGAGCTCCTCTGTACCAGAAACTTATGTTGAGAAGTCTATATCTAACAAACTTGATATTGCAAGGAAAATCCAAGGAAAATATAGCTGTTCCTTACAAGAAGAGACATCCGTAACTTGTGCAAATTTTTCATACACTTCGGCAGATGTTATGCATTCCGAAAATGATGACAACAATGCTACAAGGGTTGTTATTAACGGAAAGGAAGTTAAATGTGATAAAAAATGTCTATTACCATAAATGTAAATGTTAATGTGAATAAGTAAATAAATTAAATTTGATTTATTATACGTTTATTATTTTTTCATTATTCTACTAGTGAAATAAAGTTACTTTATTCCACTAGTGACTAGTGGATAAAGTATCACTTTAGACGGTTCATACATTTGGATAAAAGTCCGATTATAAGGTGATTGTGGATAAAGTAGATTTAATGCCTTGGCTGCTTTAATAGACTCGGTTGCGCCTCGTCTATTAATACTAGCCGCGGCATTAAAATGTTGTACTTTACTGCCTAGTTAAACAAATAACTATTACTAAGTCAGCAACGTAACCGTTCTGGAGCTTATTTAAAGATATTTTGTTAGTGTTAATTTCTACGTATGGCTAAAATATATTTCCTTCAGTCTATAAGTATTGACACTACAGTTATTCACACATAGGTTGTAAGTCTAAATAATTCCTCTATGGGGTCAGGAACTCGAATTTCGCCTCAACGTAAACTAACCTCTGGAACAAGACAAGTCGTGCCTTTAGAAAATATTTTAGATATAGGTCGCTTCATTCGCTGCCCAATGTCCCGCCCCCTCTCCGCGGCCCCCATTGGAACGCGTTTCATAAAATGCATACCATGTCCTCGAAATTTTTCTCAAATAATTACCGACACAATATACCGACATTTGTTTCTCGGTATTTGTTTATATCAACCGACCTATTTTAGTTTAATCATACAAGTTGAAAGAGATATCGACGTTTGAATTTCAACACATTGTATTCTCATTATCCCCTGTGTTGTTTTTACAATCTCAGCGAGAATCTCAAGTGTCTTGAATGTCTGATTAGACTTATCAATACACTTATAAATAAAAACATATTCCGCCACTTTAACCAATTCAGTAGGTCTCGAGGGATTAACTAATCTGCCACAGAACAGTGACTGCTAAATGCATTGAGGGTGATTCCAGTGCACACATTGAACTAGAGTCTGATTGGCAAAACCGACAAGTTTACGGAAAAATGTATTCGAAGAAGAGGTTCTACAGTTTTACTCTCCTAATAGTCTTCACAGGTAGATATTACTTTTCGAGCAAACCGCATTTAGTATTACTGTAGTTGTATCATAGTGTTAATGAAGGTGTCATTTCAAATTGTAGCGACTGATCATTTGGTCTACCGCAATATACTAGCCGAATTATTATAATTTGTAGATGCATTAAAGGAAAAAATAAGAAATAACTTATTAGCCTTTTGTTTTTCGGTAGACTCGAAGATTTAAATGTATGTTAAGGCAAGTAAATAAATCTAAAGACATATTTTATATACTACTATGGACGATCATAGATGATTTTAAGTCGCATGTAATTCAGTACAATAGTACTTCAGTACACAATAGTAATTCATGAACAAAAATAGGTTTTTTAAATATGACCCCATGTTCAATAAATTCAAGTTTAATTTAAACTATGTATGATGATCTATCTGTCTCAAACCTTGATGGGTTCCATAGAATTGTAATTTCTTGTAAAAAATATGTTTGCGTTCGTCTAGAATAAAGTTAGATATACAATGCTGACTTACTGGAAAATAACTATTCATGTAAATGGAAACCTAAAGTACTAAATTCCATGAGGCAGATAAGTTAAAAAAACTAATGTTTCTAATGGAATGGAAACTTTTAAAAATATCTTAATCTTATCTCACATGTCTTACAATATGAGTAACTCACAGTGAACATTACAATTAATGATAAAGATAAAATCCAAAATGGAAACCCATTACATTATTGAAATTATTTGAATATTTCGAATTTAGAGACTTATGGTTGACGATTAATCAGATTTCCTCAAAATATTCTGTTAATTACTAAAATATTGAACTCAAACGTAACTTCAAATTTTCACGTTAAAACAATTAATCAAGGCCGTTATTCAAATCGCTTAAAAGTGGACGCATGATGGTTATAGTCAGAAAGAGATTAGATAAAGAAGGATGGTCAGATGATTATTGTGACGTCTTTATCATCGCTTTTCTGATTGGTTTTTGTTGCTACCCCATTTATTCCATAGTTCGTGATTCCATATGAATTCCGATTTTTTTATTCTTTTATAACTGTCATAGATAATTTTGTATGCTTAAAAGTTACGGCCTTCAAAGAATTTTTTTATGTAATAACTTTGAGATAACAACAAATAACTAAGATATTTGATTGAAATTTGATGTACTTAGAGTTTTTTATGGCAACCGGAGACAAAGATATGATTATTTCTTACCGTTTACTGAGAACACTTGAAATTGTCATTTGTTTTTTTACATTTCTTTTTTAGAAATTTTGAAAAACGGCATTTGCCTAACTTTCCACATTCCTTTGACATTACAGGAACTTATTACTTATATATTATAAAATATACTTATTAAAAATAAGTATATTTTATTCTAACAACTCTTTATTAAGGACAATTAGTTTTCGGCATACCAAACGTGTAAATACAAAAAAATTGATTTATTTTTTAAAATATCTTAAGATTCTAAATGAAGCTGACAAATTATAATTGAAGAAAGATATTTTAAATGGTAGATTTTTAAATTTTAATTCTATATTTAAAAATATACCATTCGCTTTTTACGAAAATAGTAAATGTATTTATAAACTAGGCGGTATCTGTTTTGGTTTGGATGATTCGTATATCCATGGAGATTTTTGGCTTTTTGGCTTTCAAATATCACTAGAAATGAAAATTTTTCTATGCGCATAAAAAAACGTGGGTTTAACTTTTGACGGCATAATATGTTAAAAAAATTCGAAAAATGTCAAATTTTTCTTCCTACTTAATTATGTATCTTTTTAAGAGTTGATTTTAGGCGAAAATGGAAGAGGAAAAAAATGTTTGTTTAAATTAAAATTAAATTTTACAAAATATGACTAGTTACAAATCGAATGAATCATGATTATTATTATAAAAATCGAAAAAAATCTCCAAAAAATGGGGTTAAAAAACATTACTTTTTAGGGATTTTTTTGGGGTCTTTAAGTTGGGTATAAGACCTTCATACTTGACTTAAGAAAAGTTCATGTTATGTAGAATCATCACATCAAATTTCATCAAAATTGGTTCCAAAGATTTTTAATAATAAGTTTGCAATCCAGATTTTGAGAAAAAAATTGCAAATTTTCAAAATTTTGCACAGCAAAAACCAAGGCCATTAGATACTTGAAAATTTAGTCACATATAGAAAAGCTCTCAAGCTTTCAAACGCTTTTTGAAAAATTCGAATCCGTCAATTAGGAGAGCTCTGGCGCTTGTTTAAACATTGGTCGATTTTTTTTACTTATAAACAATTAGAATAACTTTGTGAATATTCAATCAAATCAAATTTTTTAAAGCAGGTTTTAAAAGTTAATAGAAAGACACTTCTTTAAAAAAAACAGATCGATTGATCAATTAGTTACGTAGTTATAGCCGATCAAAGTTAATCGTCATTTACACTAAATGTACTGAAACATCCGGGCTAATTTTTCTTAAAATACCTTTGGTATTCCGAGTACTTACCAGGTCTAAGTTTGCAATACTTTTCTTCATTGGCAACCTACTTTAAAACGCATTTAAAGTTATTTATACAAGCGAGAAATTCAAGAAAATCGTACGTGTGATGGTGGTGGGGGACACAAAGAGCGCGGCCGCTTCGGCCTGCTCGAAATTGAATAGGCGAGTTCAAAACCGCGACGCGCTTAAACATTTTTAATGTCTCAGCTTTTAGATGTCCGATTTTGATGATTTTTTTTTAAATCGATGTTTCTCGAGTTAAAAAAACAATTAGCATATTTTCAAATGCCTGCCGTTAATAATTATTGGTCTTTCAACAGTCCAATAATTATTTATCTTTAAACTTTCTTTAATTATTATCAACTTTATTTTTTTATTGTATCAAAGGTAAGTGCATAAACTTATATACTGTTTATCAAAGATCAAAAACAAATTTATTTAAATATTCTAAAATTGTTTAAACAACAATTATTTTCCAAACATCTCGAAAATGTGTAGTTAATTAATTAATTAATTAATTATTAATTTAATCATCTTTTCTTCTGTGATTAAAGTATAATTCAACTATTATTTACTGTTTAAAATATAAGCAAATGAGAAATAATTAAATCATTATATTACAAAAATACAAAATTATAGTACAAATATTCTACCAATGTTTAAACAAGCACCCGAGCTCTCCTAATTGACGGATTCGAATTTTCAAAAAGCGTTTGAAAGCTTGAGAGCCCTTATATATGTGATTAAATTTTCAAGTATCTAAGGGCATTGGTTCTTGATGTGCAAAATTTTGAAAATTTGCAAATTTTTTTTCAAAATCTGGATTGCAAAATTATTATCTAAAATCTATAAAACCGATTTTGATGAAATTTGGTGAGATGATTCTGCATAATATGAAGTATGAACTTAAAGACCCCAAAAAAAATTCCCTAAAAAGTAATGTTTTAACCCCATTTTTGGCGATTTTTCCGATTTTTACAATAATTATCATGATTCATTCAATTTGAACTAGTCATATTTTATAAAATTTAATTACAAACATTCTTTTCCTCTTCCTTTTTCGCCTAAAATCAACTCTTGAAAAGATACATAATTAAATAAGAAAATATGACATTTTTCGAATTTTTTTAACATATAGTGCCGCCAAAAATTAAGCCCACGTTTTTTTTATGCGCATAGAAAAATTTTTGTTTCTAGAGATATTTTAAAACCAAAAAGCCAAAAATCTCCGTGGATATATGATCCACCCAAATATGGACTCTTTGAAACAGATACCGTCTGGACTATTAGATAATACTGTCTAAAATTTAACAAATAAAAAACGAACGCCCCCATTATTTTTTTGCGAAGCTGCATTGTTTATTATCAATTTATTTTTTATTTGTGGATAGTAATTCTCAGTATTTTAGTCGGCAAACTGACCGGTGCGGTCTTCTTACAAAACATAATAAATAGTGAAAAGAAAATACTTGTATAGGATCGATAGGTTGAGCACCTCCTTAAACTGAGTTATTTTATCTGCAAAGTTCTAAAAGATAAGGAACTACTAATACTAGTACAATTCCACATGAATTAAGGCAAATAAATTTATTGAGTTCGTAACATAAAACAAAAAAATACTTATGTTGTTTTCGCCACAAGTGTTTATTTCTAAATTCTTAATGAAAATATCAAGTTGAAAATTAATACTACTCGTAACAGATATTTTGATAGATTTTGAACATTACCTACTATCTTAATAAATTATTACTTCTTCGGGAAAACTATGGCGTACTTGTTTACATTAAAAGGAAGCTCCGTACCCCATCGCACGCCACTGACTCAAGTGGTAAAACTAAAACTATAACAACCAAAACAATAACTATAACGAAAACTATAACAATCAAAAGACGCTTCATTTGCAAGTTGTACCAAATTTCAATCAAATCCGTTTATAGTTTTCTGAACTTTGACAAGAAGTAATCAGTTCCTCTATATCGAAACCTAGGCATTTTGGAGTTTATTTAATAAAAGAATATATTCTAGTAATTTCAGAATTTAAAGTCAAATTACCCTATATACAGGGTGTTAATTAAGTAGGTACAGTAAAGTGCGCACCAATGTTTATATAAGCTTTTTGTCTTAAAATTACTCAAATAATCGTCTGTTGAATTTATTTTACATACTTAATTAACACCCTGTATACGATATATTTGTTTGTTAGTGATAAAATGAAGTAGTCCATTGAAATGTTACATTTTTTTGGGCTTAGCATGCAAAAGTCAGAACACGCAATTTTGTATTTTAGATGTCAAGAGGGGGTTAGTGTAAAGTTAAATCCATGTTTGTGGGGTCGCAACCCTTGTGCATAAGCCGCCATCTTGTAAAAGGGGCTGCGAATGTTTTTTATACTACTACTTACTATATCGGGCAAACTATTCGTCGCACAGAAAATTTGCAAATACATTTTTTGTTGCAAATTAAATTTTCTACAAATTTGGTTCGTAGTCGTAGAACCAAAAATAACAAAGTTATTAAAGAAAATAGATACAAATTTGGGAACAAATTTTCTTTTGGTAGTTATAACTTTTTTTTGGTCATTTTACAAAAAAAATACATCAGAGCATTTCGATAGAGGGGTTTTCAAGGAATAATTTCCATTGCAAACTTTTTCAAATTTTATTTATTTATTAGGGTTTTACATTAATATGAATGATTAGGCATAGTTTTCTCTCATCTTTCCATTATTTTTATAAGAAACATTTTAATGATTGACATTGCAATGTTGTTAATTAGTTATTGACTCTTTTCCCCACCCCCTACAAGGTAGAGTCTGGTGGCGTGTTTTTTTTACGTCGTATCCCTAGTAGGCAGAATCCACGGACATTTACTAGCTAACATAATAATTAGTGTAATTAAAAATATCGAAATATATTTCCCAATCTACTGTATCCTCAGTCTCTTTGATGGGCCAGGCTGCGACTCAGGATCTGGTTGAGCTTCCGATATTGAATTGATGAGGAAGGATGGAGAATGAAGTGGCGTCATTGTTGGTAGTTCATCTTCAAAATCATTCTTCTCGATCAATTTGTATATCTCCATGTTGCTGCATGTCTCCTCAGAACAATTCAGGCACACTGCAGAACATTTGGGCCTGCCTTCCGACATCCACACATTGCTCCACAGTTTCCTTTTGATAGATGATAGACTCGGAGGCTGTGCAAGCGGGCTGTGTCTTGTGTTGGAGGAAGTGAAGACACATTAAATGTATTATTTGTTCACTGACTTGGCGAAACGTTTATATCTAAGACTGTCAAGAGAATCATCATCTTTATTGCCACCATATAAAGAGATGAAAAAACGTTCGCCAACGGCAGTGAGCAAAGTAGGGTCGACTCTCTCATTGAGGTATAACGCTGTTCTACTAGCTAACTCAGGACGTGTCTCCAGGGTTGTGAGAAATTTCATTTTACCGATGTTGTAAGCTGCTGAAGTCGTCTCACATCCTGAGAAGGCATGGAGAAACAACAGATTATCCACAAAGACGTCTCAGACGACATACATAAATTTGACGCACAATATAATTGCTCGGCTGTACGTCCTTTTGGTAGTTTTAAAAAAAATACATTTGAATGTGTTCTTCCAAATGCCGTGAGCAAGACAAGAATGTCGATATCTTCGGCGACAATAGTGACTGAGTCGAACGATTGGGATGCAGCAAGAGCGGAGCGAACGATGAGGGTATCTGCATCTGATTCTGCTTGGTCGACACTGGAACCCACCTCTTGTCCTCAAAATTCAAAATAGTGTCCACAAAACTCAAAATACTTTTCATAATTAAATACGTCACGTACGCACGTGGTAGCACAACTGGAAGAATACTTTGAAGGACACCTCATATGCCTAATCATTCATATATATACTACCTAATGTATACTTACTAGTAAGTATACGTTAATATGAATAGAGAATGGAGAATAGTGCAAGTTTCGCATCGCTGTAACACCCTAATAAATAAATAAAATTTGAAAAAGTTTGTAATGGAAATTATTCCTTTATTATCGTTAATAACTTTGTTATTTTTGATTCTACGACTAAAAGTTACAGAACCAAATTTGTAGAGAATTTAATTTGCAACAAAAAATGTATTTACAAATTTTCTGTGCGACAAATAGTTTGCCCGATATAGTAAGTAGTAGTATAAAAACCTTTCGGAGCCCTTTTTACAAGATGGCGGCCGATGCACAAGGGTTGCAACCCCACAAACATGGATTTAACTTTACACTAACTCCTTCTTGACATGCAAAAAATAAAAGTGCGTGCTCTGACTTTTGCAACCCCAAATGTAACTTTTCAATGGACTAAAGGTATTAGAGATAAACGCGTTTAAAGTGGAATTACAAAAAAATCGCCTACAAGAATTAAATAATAATTGATTAGTACCTAAAAATAAATGATGTTATCATAAAAAAAATTAAAACTCTTAAAAACGGGATAAGAAAGTACATTCATACTTTTGTTTGGAGCAAACAAAAGTGCCCCCTATCAGTAAACTGAATACAGTAGTTGAAACAACCGCAAATTACACTTTTATCCAATAATTATCCAAATCTAATAGAAACAAAAAGTTATGGGAAAAAATAACTTATAACTCTATGTGATGAGCTGGGGGAAAAAGTTTCTTACCAGCTCGTTGCAGTATTTTATTTTTATGTTTGTATGAATTATCTTTAGTAACAAGTAATTTTGTAAAAACACTTATCAATGCTGAAGCAAAGAATCCCTATTCTTACAATTAAAAAGAATTCAAATTTGCAATTTAAACGTTTGACACGGTTTATTAATCACACAATATTGTTCTTCAGTTGATTTGCTTGCTACTTCCGGCGACGTAACACTGTCATGGACATCACCAGTATTTCCTAAGCTGCATTCGAACGACACATCCAAAAACCCCCTAGGCAGGCCAATTACCGACGATGAGGATGCTTGGATAGGATCTCTCGTCACCATCGGTGCCATGATGGGTCCTCTACCTGCTGGATTCATAGCTGAGAAGTTCGGAAGGAAAATAGGACTGCTTAGTCTGGCCATACCGCATATTGTGTCTCTCTTTAGCATGGCATTCGCGCAAAGTATTTACATTTTCTACTTGGGGAGATTTTTAGGTGGATTGTCTACAGGAGCCGGTTATACTTTGCTCCCAATGTACATAGCAGAAATATCAGACGATTCTGACAGAGGGAAATTTTCTCAAACTCTCAACATCTTTTGGGCTTTTGGAAATTTCATACCGTATGCCATTGGTCCTTACCTATCCATTCAATGGTTCAACATAGTTCTAGCTATAGTCCCTACTACGTTCTTCATAGTATTTTTATTGCTTGGTCCAGAAACACCTTATTATTTGGTATCAGTGAATAAACTGAAGAAAGCAGAAAAATCTTTGATGTCACTGAGATCTCTCGATGAAGAAGGGGTGAAACATGAACTGGAGCACATAAAAGAAAATTTGGGGAAAGAAGAAACTGGTCACTTCAAAGATATTATTCTAAACAAAGGTCTCAGAAAAGCGCTAATAATATGCCTAGTCTTAGTGATATCTCAGGAACTCTCGGGCTTCTGTGCAATTACGTTTTACTTGCAAACTATATTTGAAGCTGCAGGAACAGAAATAGCTTCAGATGTTTCAGCTCTGATCGTAGGATTCTCTATTTTCTTATCCAGTTTCTTCACCCCATTCCTAATAGACAGGTTAGGAAGGAAAGTACTTACTGTAACATCATGCTTCGGAATGGTAATAGCCCTCTCGACTCTTGGCACGTTCTTTTACATGCAGGATTTTACGGATATACAGACAGACCCCGTATTCTGGGTGCCAATTTTCAGTTTGATCCTCTACATATTCGCTTTCCACTTTGGAATTTGTTCGATACCTTGGACTTTATCTTCGGAACTGTTCCCCAGTAATGTGAAAGGTATAGCCGCCCCTACTATAACGATCGCCTGTTGGTTAAGTTCGTTCCTGGTGACGAAATTTTTCAACAACATGAACTCTGCAATGGGCAAGTCGGGGAGCTTCTGGTTCTTCGCTGGATGTTGTTTGTTTACTGGTGTATTCAGTATATTCTTTGTACCAGAGACTAAAGGCAAAAGCTTCAACGAAATTCAAGATATGTTAAATGGATCTGACAAAATAAAGTCCGTTAGTGAGAAAGAGGCGTACTGATCTAGTATTCTAGTTTTAAGATACGTTGAATGACTCATGTAGCAACATTATCATTGCTATTTGCATTGGAAAAAATATTTGCATTGGAAAAAATGAGTCGCAATGTTTAGGCAACAATTTTTTTACAAAAGTATTCTTCCAAATTATATGTTTTGTAAATCCGTTTTCCTTGAAGTTGCCTTAAGTCCCTCTACAAAGCTAAAATTTAAAATAGACTTTAATTGTAAGTAGCGAATGAATTACCAGATGCCCTTATTTTTACTCCAGGCCGCTCTTATGTGGAATATTTTAATTTTGCAAAAGAATGGCCAGACTGTATATTTTTATTATTATTCATTTATAGATTTAAAATTATTATTTATAAATTTTGTAAACTATTTTTTGTCTTAAAAATGTATATACTAATTAATATTTAATTTATTGCAAATGTATGAGCTTTTTAAGTGTTCTAAATAGATTGTATGTATATGTTACTTAAATATTCGGATAATACTACTCAAATTATGGAAAGCATAAGACAATTAAAATTGCATGTTCTTGAAAATGTATTTTTGCTATTTTTATATAAGAAAAAAGCTCTCTTGTAAGTAGTACCTGCTAGATCAGATTAAAATCTATTTTAATTATTCGACTTTTTTTAACCCAGTTTGTACATCCATACAGAATGTTTCAGATTGTAGTACGAAAACTTTCCAGGCAGTAGGTCAGAAAATTTTTACCAAAATAAGTCTATCATCTTTTGTTTTTGAAATTTTTGAATATGCCCCAACTATCAATATAATTAATACAAAAACAAATACCTGATATATTACAATTGTTAAATAATGTATTCATTCAAATAAGTGTTTTGTATTTTTGTTGTTCTCTCATCATCTTTGACAACGATGAACACGTAGAAAACAGCTACCACGAAGTGATCTTTTTGTTTCCATCAGAAGCAACTGAGGTCGGACCTAACTGTAAAATTTGGCACTCACACCGTATATTTTAATACCTACTATTCTACTTTTAACCTAAATAAACAGTTAGGTAAATTAATTTCCAATTACCTATTACATTTATCAAAAATCAAAATAATAGTTTGAATAATTGTTTGAATATTGAATATCTCGCCGCTCACTGTTTCCATCGCCGCGGCATTGGGTACTGTACACTTGGCTACAACATGCTCCAGCGTTGAGTGAATGAGTTATATCTAACTCATTCACTCAACGGCTACAGCTCCCCCTCCACGCGAGGCGGTTAAAATAACATGATTTAGGAGGGAACTGAGGCCGGCTCAAAGCTGCTTATAGTTTCAGTCTTTAAGTTCGCGGTTAATGTACACATCGCATAGTACGCGGGTAGTGCCTGATGTCATGTGAGCTTAAAGAATTTGTACTATAGAAGGGCTTTAAGGATAAGGACAAGACAGGTATTAATTTAAAATAAATAAAAAACAACTTCCTTAGAACAAAACAAGGTACGACTAAATTTAACGTAACGTAATTTTGTCGTACAGATCTAAAATCAGTAGTCTCTACTTTGATTTGCTTTTTTTATATCTTTCATTTGAAAAATTACTTATTTTGAAACCAACAAAACTACCTTGCGTAATTTAGGTATGTAATAAATATGTTTGTATCCTCTTGAAACACTACACTTGTGTTAGTGTTTTCCCACTGTTTTTTTGTGAATATTATACAAATACTAATACTAGGTACTAATTGTAAGTATTTATATAAAAATACATAATAGGTAAATATTATATTATTAATATATTTTTAAGGTATTAGGTAGAGTTATGTAGTTTCCATGGGAATAAAAAAAGTAATAAGAATTTTGCATTTGATTAGGAAAATCTTTGAAATCTGTGACAAAAGCAGTTTAGACCAATTAAATGCAAAATCCTTGTTATTTACTATTCTTGTACAAAAACATCAAAATTTTCGCTACAAACGGTCTTTATAGAAGCTTTACACGTTATTGAAACGTACCTTTCGATTTTCACTCCTCTCATCTCAGCACTGATAAAGTCGTGGTTTTTACTAAAAAAAATCATAACCATTAACAAACCTATTTCTGGCAAATTAAAAGAATCTGCTTTTACGAAATTTGCTTATATTTTTTAAATTTAATATGCATAAACGATAAAACATATATGTGGTAGATGCAGAAACTCATCTTGAAGTAGCGTATGCGCTCCTAACTACTACGCCACATGCCAAGCCGGCTGACCGTCCCATGCGGTGACGTCATTACATTGCCACAGCTGAGACAAAAGGCTTTTTTCGCGACTGAATATTGCTGAATATCCGACCTGTAGTTACTATTTCTATCTCTTTTGATCTTAGTTGTCGTATGGTAATTTAAATCTCTTCATTCACTCGTACTACAACAACATACGACTTCACTCGCCGAAAAAACCTAAATATTCTCGTTTTAAAAATTATCTAGTTTGGAAATCGCTCAACGGATTGAATTGAAATTTTCAGGATCCTCGAATCATGAGCAATACTTTGTGTATACAAAATAAGAACGTTTTTGAAAATTTGCTGAATGACCCCATTTAGAATTCGAAACATAGACGAACATACACGACAATATTCTGAACAAAACTTATCCTCAAAAAAATTGTCATCAGTGTCACTGGAAAAAGTAGTAGCCAACGAACTCTAGCAGATGGTCAAAAAATAACAACACTGACGTATTTAGCTCTCCAAAAACTTACCATATCACATTGCTTTTAGGATAAGTATCGATAGGTGCTTTTAATAAGATGCTGTTTTGAAGTTGTTTTTTTTTTTGTAACCATTCACAAGTGAATAAACCAAGAATAACCGTAAAACTTTTCGTTCAATTTGAAGTTAAAAATGCCATTTTAGAGCAATGCATTTCAAGTGAAAAAGACATCAATAGCGTAGAAATTTTGAATTTTCTAAGGGATACCTAGCTACTAATAAATATTCAGTTAGTTAAATTTTTCTACTCGTATTATGAAATTTAATATACAGGGTCGTAAAGTCCCCATAGTTCATCGTCCGTTACGTCAGAGCGATAAAGTAAGTCATAGACATCCGTGCGATAGAGAAAGATGGCTATAATGATCGCGTCTAATAGTCACCGCCCATTTCGCCCTGCCGCAAATAAGAAGTGGATCTTATTTGTGGAAGGGCGAAATGGGCGGTGACTATTAAACGCGTTCATTATAGCCATCTTTCTCTATCGCACGGATTTCTATGACTTTCTTTATCGCTCTCACGTAACGGCCGATGAACCATGGGGACTTTCCAACCCTGTATTTATAACTTTTTTAGTTATTGGTCAACTTAAATCAAATTTATTTCAAACGGAGGACTCATTCTCCTAATATGCAAAATCATCCAATTTAGATATCAAATAAAAGATATACTATATGTATATTTAAACAAAATCGAAAACTCTCAACAGGCATTCATATATAAAAAAATATTAATGAAGGTTGTCCGGAATTATCAAATAGGTTTACATTTTAAATTTAAAAAAAAATGTAAGAATTATGGAATAATTCCCAAATGGTAAGGCAGTTCAAATCAATAATGAAAATTAACCCATTAGCGCCTAAAGGTACCATATGGAGCCAATAAATGTCAAGATAAAAAGTGGGGTTTGAGAGTGATTTTTTGCTAGCTTTCGTCAATTTGCTTATTTGCACATCTTCAGTATGATTTTTATGAAGCCCTTAGGAGAGTTCATGCGGCGCTTTGTTTACATTTGACATTTTTTTGTGTCGAGTGAAAAACTTGTTTGTACGAGTTTGTTGAAAACATGGACATCAACTTCGTGTAAGTATAATAGTTATTAGATATTTTATTCTATACTAGTTGCTTTTAGTGTTTTATTATACTATTATATCTAAAAACATATTCCTATTCGAGAATAATTTAACTGATTATTTGGTTATGTTTAATATTGTTGTAAACATTGGCGTTCCCATATGGGCCCGTTAGGCAGTAGCTCGGTTGAACTAATATATATCTTTAGCTGTAAATCTTCTTTTAGTGGAATTATCCTTCAGAAAGCGATTGTCAACTTGACTTTAGGAGAAATATATTGCAGGTAGAGTAAAACCAACAATTTGTAGAGGAATCATATTTTGACGTTTTTTTTTAAATTTATTTTCAGACATATCTAACGAGATATAAAGTACCAGCTCGCGCTACAGGACGAATACCTCGGGTAGCAGCAAGTGATTTTCGAGTCAGTAACGATATAAGGTATGATGGCATGCATCATTATGTAACCACTATTCCTGAAGCTAAAAGAAGACGATTTGGTGGTGAAAACTGTAGCAGCCGAGGAAGAACAATGTGCTGCAAATGTAATATCGGCTTATACGTTGACTATTTTCGGAAGTTTCATACTCAGTAATAACATTTACTCATTATTTTAAAGTTTCGTTAAAAGAACAAGTTACTTTTTACTTTTTTCATTGTTGCTCATTTCTGGTGACGTTGCGCCTAAAGGTCCCATATGGGAACACCTTGTTTTTCGGTTAATTTAGAGAAAAAATATTTTAAGTTGACTAAATATGTTAAATAAAGATGTTTACTACTTATTTGTATTAAAAATTTGCATAATTTTTTTATTTTTTTTTTATCGGCGTTAATGGGTTAATCACCTGCAGTTTACTGCTAATTTAATACTTCTAATTACTTACTCAATTGCTAATTATACTTTAAAAATAAGCCTTTGGGACAATCCGTTACTGTGTACAAACAAATTTTCTCTTGAGAGATTGTTGCACTCGTTTGTCTAAAAATGTATGTCGGGTTTTATTTGGATTTTGTAAGACATTGTTGTTAAAAAAAATATATTTGTTATAGTCCACATTTACCACGCTTTATATTTTCTGTATTTTAGAAACATTATCGTAAATATGACAAAATAATTCCAATTTTGAATGATATGCCAAATGTAGTCTTGTGTCAACATCACTTTTACGATTTATCTCAATACAATATAAAGTTTATTGTTCCCAGCTGACAATTGCAGTAAAAAAAATTAAATTCGTTTTAAAACATGCTAAAAAGTATACCTTTTTGCAGTAGGTAAATACATAGAGTATTTCATGAAATATTTGCATTTTCTCTATATTTCTAATACCAAAAAAATATGACAAAAAAACGACTCTCTGGTGTTCTTACCGACCTCTATGTTTTAAATAAAAAATAAGCTCACGTTCATTTTTGGCCAAGTTTCATTGAAATATTTTAAAAAGTGATTATTTTTCACTACCTACTTAACAATATTTCCCCTTCCGATTTGTTACATTTGTTAAATATTTTCTGATAGATACTTCGTACTCTTGAAATGATAAGATGGGAAGAAAATGTAAATGGTTTTTATTTTCAATATTTTATATTCAAAATCTTAAAAGTATACGATCTATAAGTCTATGTTTTTAATATATTTAATTAATTTTAACATAATATTATGTAGGTACTTTTTTTTTAATTAAATAATTAACATGAAGATTTTTTTTTGAAAATATGTTTAAAGCGGAAAAACTAGTGGTCAATTTTTTTTATAATGAAGTTTGGGATCACTGTTTTTTTGGGAAAGGACTTCTAAACTCATATAAACAACTTTCGTGAACAGATGTTCTTATTTTTATTTATTTTTATTAAGTTAGAGCATTCATTATGAAATGGAAATAAAAGAATGTTCATATAAAATTTTAATAGATATTTCTATAAACATTTACTTTAAAAAAATTCAAAACTATCTGCTCGTTTCCATCAGTTGGTTACGTAAAAAAAATTGTTGCAAATATATTTACAACCCTTTCAGAGACCTTAGGGTGTGACATTCCTATTTTAATTTCCCTTTCTCTAAATTTTTTCGTTACTGAAGTTCTCTTTGTGAGCCCAGCAGCGCATAGTCTAAGAATTAGTTCTAACTGAAAAGGCAGTTCTTAAAGAAAAAGTTAGTTCTAAAAGTTAAAAAGGGCAGTTGCAAAATTTGATTGCTTGAAGTACTATGAAACTGAAATTTCATGAATACTTGTTAGATGCCGGTCTGGTACTAGTTTCAGAATTCTGATCTTGTAAAGGACGCAGGTAAATAGTGACTAAAATCAATTAACACTTTAAACTAATGCTTCAAAATTGCAATTTACCAGTATTATCAAATGACATTTACCTACTCGATTTTTTTATTCTCGAATCTTGGTATTCGTAGAAGTATAAATTCGTAACACTAATTTATGAAATTAAAAGTATCTCCTCAACATTTGGCTTTAGTAATCTTCAATAAGTATACCTATATTTCATATTTTGTTACTAATAGCTGTATACGGGGGTTGGCAAAAAGTTACTACATATTCCATGAATAACGTGGCCTGCCGAGGGCGCCTCGTACTCGACACTCAAAAATCATTATTATATTATTTTTCCCATCATTAAAAAACCTATCTGTTGAAAATTTGAAACATTTCTGACTAAAATTATAGAAATCATTAAGCACTTTGACACCCTGTATCTTTTTTTTATTATGCGACTTGGGATATAGGTATATGTTAGGTTAAATCTACTTATTTTCACCTAAGGAAACTCTGGTATCATTTGTGCCCCTCCATTTAAATACACCCTGTAGATATTTAGGTTTATAGATAATTATATCTTAACATGATATCCGATTTTTTCCGGTGTAATTTCTGCTATACGTTCGCTCCGAAGGTTGTTGATGTCAACGATAAATATAAGTTGTTGCCCCTGTAAGATAGGCAACTGTAAGTAAAAATTTGAGGAAACATCTTTTCTTGGCAGATTTTATCAACGTAAGTGTAAATAATTATGGTTACATTGAAGACGTTTCATAATCTGAATAGTTCTAACCCGAAACGGGCGGTGACTATTCAGATTATGAAACGTCTTCACTATAGCCATCCTTATCTATCGCACGGATTTCTTTACATTACTTTGTTGCTCTCATGTAAAGGCAAATGGATCATGTGGATTTTCCAGCCCTGTATAATAATAACGTCTAATAGCGATTCATAGTTCCAAAAGTAGGCAATGTTATGACCAAAATATTGATTATACCTATTTAAATTTTGTTTTTTCACAGCTTTTCTAGTAAAATAGAGGATCATTGATTGATGATTAAAATTTGTTTCATTCCCTTACGAAAATCCATTAAGTAAAAAAATATTCACGTAGGAACATGTGCAAACTACTCCGTAAAGCTGCTTACATTACACCTATAGACAAATTACATAGCTTGAGCGATAGTAATTTTGTCTGTGTAAAGGCCCCCACAGGCACACGTTCTTTTTGGCAGTTTTACCCGTACAGTTTTATCTGAACGGGTAAACACGAACAACGATAACAGCCACACACTAAACGTGTTTTTTTGTTCAGTTTTTTTGAAATCGTGGTGTCATTAACATCAACCGTTCTGTGATGGAATATACGACAACACTGGCAGTGGCGGCGGCAATTACTATAAAATTTAAATCTAAAAACAAAAAAAAAACGTTCAAAATGGGTTAAAGAATGGTTACTTAAAAGAAAACAATTTTCACACGTATATCTTTTGCATGAATTACGAAGAGCCGGGAGATTGGTTTAATTATTTGCGAATGGACGAAGAAACTTATTTAGAGCTGCTTAAAAATGTGTTCGTGTAATATGTAGTATTATGCAACCAGTATTACATATATCATATCGATATTAGATACAGAATATAAATAAAATACTTAAGCTGCCACTGCTGAAATATTTGTACAGATTATACTCTAGATATTAACACAATATTGAACTTTTCCATGACTTTCCATATGTTGATGTTTAATAGATATAAATTGAATTGTAATTTTATTATTACTGATACTTAATTTCTTGGAAAAATATACATACATTGTACGAAAATGCAGAGTCAGCATTCAGCAATCTCAACTCTCAACACATTCAATTTGATATGAATCCCGCTGAAATTAAACAATAATTATTTGAGGTGTTTTAGAAGTGTTGTTTTATCTAAAAGTTTACTATAAAGCAGGTATGTAAACAAGTAAAATTTTAAATACGTAGTGCCGTGACGATAGTACCTGCCTATTGACTTGCAGTTATTAATACTGTACTGTGACACCACATTGCGTAAGAAAAAACAGAGATTAGACTCAGACAAATTAAGTACTCAGATTCGACACTTTTAATTTACACAACCGGCGTAAGGCAACTTGTAAATAAAATATTTTTTAAATGACTTGATTGGCCAAGGAAGTGATTTTAAATTAAATGCAGGCCATTTTTTTAAGTATATGTTTTATTTTAAAATATTGGGGTAAGTACCTGACTAATGTAAATGGGGCTTTTTAAAGATAAGGTTATGTCACATGTTACTACCTTTATTTATTACTCTGAGGTTACTACGCTATTTTCTGTCTCTATTGTCCGTCCCGTGATTTATCCTCGTCATTGTCACTGTTACATTGAAATAATATGTTAATTAATCATACGTATTTACTAAATAAGACTAAATACAAAAAAGTTACATTATTCTTGTTATACCCACGATTTATTAATAACCTATCCTATATACTTACACATTTTGAACTTTTTTACGTACGTTACGTAGGTGTTACAAAATGTTTTATTGCTTATATGTACAATGATTAGTACTTTTTATATTTAATGTAAGATAGATTTAAACATGCCTGTGGTTTAAGGAATTGTACAGGGTGTTCAAAATAAGTGAAACTGGAAAAGTGTTGGAGGTTATTATTCCAACACCGACATGTTCTTAATATCCCTCTATGGAAAATTATGTGTCTTCATGACAAGCTATTTTGTGTAAGGTGTGATATGTGTTCTACAAATTCCCCTGTTTTACTAAAATAATTTTCTATACTTTATTACAACGCAATGTAATCAAGTTTACGCGGTAGTTTACAAAACAATTCCCTACTCTATCTGTTTTTTTTTTTACTGATAACCCTAACGCTAATTAAATTTACAAAAAAAAGATGCAATTAAGTTTTTACATATAAGTCATGATATTTTTAAATATATAGGAATAATTTATTAAAAGTTATAAAAATATTGAGTACCTATATAGATTACTTATTTAATTTTTCTTGTAACAGAACGAAAATTTTAAAAAAAGCACACTAACTCGACCACAATAAGAAGGAAACTGATTTTCTGGTAGATGTGAGAAAAACCCTCTTTAACTTTTTATAGAACATCGAAGTTTTGCATTCAAAATTTTTATTAGGTATCTTTCATTGTCAGTCTGAGGTACCTAAAATGAATAAGTAGATCCAGTCCTTAAGTATTTTTTATTGAATAATAAATGCTGAATTTTGTTATTTTTCATCTACGTAGAATAAAAATATGGTAATTATTTACTATAGTGGCACCCTCTCCAATTTTCACAAAATTTTGTCTACTCCCCTATTTTCGATGGTGCTGAACAGGAATCTGAAGTTTTTTTGTGCGGTCGAACTCAGTTCTTGAGAAAAAAATTTTTCAAAATGCCAACCAGAATATTTCAGATAACACGATGTAGAACTCTGTATATTTTATGTAGCTTTCAGAACATCTGTAATAAACAATCAACATTGTTTAAGAACCGCATTTTCCCAATTTTGAACTAAAAATATATGTATTTAATAAATAAAATTATAGTAAACTTTATGTGGGATGAACAGAGATGAATGAGAGTGGGGGAACTCAATGTTGTCATCACGAATTACAAATGGCGGATTCAAACTACAACATTTTTATTTATTAAATACATATTTTTTTACTTGAAATTTACGAAAATGTGTTTCGTGAACAGTGTTAATTGTTCATAACAGATGTTCTGAAAGCTACATAAAATATACAGAGTTCTACGTAGTGTTAACTGAAATATCCAGGTTAAAATTTTAAAAAATTTTTTTCTCGACAACTCTAGGTTCGACTGTACAAAAGTAACTTCAGATTCGTGTTCAGCACCATCGAAAATAGGGGGTTAGACAAAATTTTGTGAAAATTGGAGAGGGTGCCACTAAAGTAAATAATTACCAAAAATATTTTTAATATATTCATTGTTTTATTGTTTTAGTAAATATTCAAAACCTGACGAGTTCGGTCCTGTAAAAGCTAATAGGATTTAATTAATGTCATGACGTCAGAACTCATGACAACGATTTGACTGATATTAGTCAATGTCATCTTGTCATCATAACCTTAACTTACTGAAGTTTCCATGTTTACTTTTTCGTAATTGAAGGTTAAGAAAATGATATTTAAGTAATATTTTAAAGATGTTTCCTAATGCAAAGTCAACCGGCGAGCTCAATAAGGTATCTACTCATGTATAAATATTATTTACAATATATTGATATCGTTAATTGTTAAATTGGTTCTTATATCTAAAATGTACATAGGTATATGAATTCCTTATAAAAATTTTATTAATTTTACATTACATTTATATATTTTTGTGGAGCCAACATTATCATAATGCAATAAATTGATTTCTAAATATTTATTGTAAAAATCATTTAAGTATTAAGTACCAATTCTGATAGTGTTTATCTGATACGAGAAACCTGAATGTCAGATATTAATCAATACAAATTTATTATAAGTATTATGTGGCTTATTGGTGATTTATGATTAATAATGTTTCAATGCGGTAACTAAATAAAAAACAGTAGATACCTTTTATATATCTAAGGTTTAACTTTCCAGAAGAAATGTGGCTACGAACTCTTAACCCTATTCATTTCATTAGTTCATTCAGTAGTTCATTTATAAGCATGCATTTTCAAACACAACCTTAATTCTCTTTATATGCTGCCTGTGTTAGGAAAATAGATTAAAATATGAAAAAAAATAATAATTAGGAAATTTATACCTGTTTACAATAACTTATTAACATGTTATTTATTAAATTATTAATAATATATTTTAACTTAATCAGTAATGATTGATTCCACTTCCACTTCAATATTTGTTTAATTAAACAATAAATAATAAAGTATATCTTATTGTTTTCAATGAAATAATTTACAATAAAAATATTTTTAATATGAAAAGATTTTAATAAATACTTTTCATTTCATGTGATAGTGTTACTGTTATTTTGAATTATAGTGAACAATTGTAACAATAGTTTATAATTTTCAGGTCATCAAAAAACTCATTACGTTTCAATATTTAAATGATGTTTCAAGATGAGAAATTCCCCAAGAAATCTTAATTATGTGTTTGTTGTAGCGTTTGCAGGTGTGTATAATATCAATAATTACATTCATATACTTAGGGCCAAATTCAGAGACTTCCCTAAATCTATACTAACCTTTCACATCTCAAACTTATGCTTCACTCAACTTAGGGTGCCCTCATGTCATTCTCAATTCTGGTATTCAGAAATGTATATAAATGAATGACTAACTTGAGTGTGCATCAAACAACAAATTACTAGATAAGGGAACAGTTGGCTACTCAAATATTAGCAAAAATATGTCATCAGTGAAAAGCTAATGTCACAGTATTTCTTTATTTTGAATTTGAATAACTCACCTTGAAAATATATACTGAAATGAACACACTGTATCTCAAGAAACGACACCGAGTAATAGCAGAGAAAATTTCATGAAATTATAATGTAGACTCTAAGACATAAATTACTTTTAAAGAAAAATAAAAATTTCCCTACTATGTACTTCATATAGACTAGAATGAGTGACAAGCAGTCATTTATGTCGTATGTAACAGAAATAATTTTTAAAAAATATGTATAATTTATATAGCGTTCACGTATAGAATATTCTTTATTGAACTTGGACTTAATTATTTGTAAAATATACTGCTAGAATATTATGAAACCACAAAATTAATAAATTAGGAACATATAAGCACACGTCAGACACCACTAATATGTCACTAACCTAGCACTCATTTGTGAGGGCAATTTGAGTACGATTTAAGTGACTCATTGAATTAGAATTGTTTATGAATACGATTAGGGTGAGTTTAGTATGAGATAAGTGTGAGCCGAACTTTAGTGAGATCTATGAATTTGGGCCTTAGGGCCAAATTCAGAAACTGCCCTAAATCTATCTACCTAAATCTACCTTTCACTCATATCAAACTTATGCTTCACTCAACTTAGGGTGCCCTCATCTCATTCTCAATTCTGGTATTCAGAAATGTGTATAAATGAGTGACTAACTTGAGTGTGCATCAAACCACAAATTACCAGATAAGGGAACAGTTGGCTACTCAAATATTACCAAAAATATGTCGCCAGTGGAAACCTAATGTCACAGTATTTCTTTATTTTGAATTTGAATAACTCACGTTGAAAATATATACATAATAAATTACATTTAAATAATAAATAATGAAAATCAAAAGGTCTAATTAATTATCCAGGTAAAAACGATCCTCATATATCCCAAGTAATAATTAGTTAGTAGTTAGTAATATTTAGTTTATTTTCCCTAGCTAATACACTACTTTATTTAGCTCTGGAATTGTAAATAAAAAAAATTAAATTTTTATGTATCGGAATCAGTAATCAGAATAAAATATAAAATATACAGGGTTCGTCACGGTAAGTGGCCTATTAGACGTTTCAGAGGAACCAAAGACAATATGACTGAAATTTTATTTACGAGGGTTATCAGATATGTTCTCTTTAATGAAAATAAAGCCATTAATGTAGCACTTCCGGTTATAACGGAAGTAGCTGTCAACTTTGTTATTTTAAATGGAACACCACAAATATTATTGCATTATCGACAAGATAAATTAAAAATAAGTCAAAAATGTTAAAGCTTCCCTGTACCTAAATCCAACCGTTTTCGAGATAATCGTCATTTTGCAAAAATTTTTACAGATGCAAGCGTTTCGAAAATTCCTTATATCTTTCTTCGTTATGGGAGCTTTCACTTGGTTTTCGGAATACACAAAGAATATAACATGCACTACCTTCGCCTATCAAAATTACCTGAAGAAAATTATACTAAGTGTCCCATTTTTCACGTTACATTTTAAAAACTTAAAACCGACAAAACTTTTTAAATTCAAATGGAACACCCTATATCTTTCTACATCATATAGAAAATCAAATTCTCTTTTCACGGATATAGTCATTGTAGGAGTTACAGTTTAAATTTTCTCAGATATTTGCAGTTTACTTACATTCTCAAGAATATTACGTTAAAAATATCATCAAATGTGCCTTGAAAGGCAAATATTGGTAGTGTCATTCAGTATCAAGTATTTGCTCGACAAAAAAAAAAATGCAAAATAATTATTCTAATGAAGATATTTTGAATTATTTCTATATCCATGGAACATTCACCGTGAATCAAAATTATTAGCTGTATTTCTCTGATTTGGTATTTTGCAACTGAAACAGATAAGAACCATTAATGAAATTATTTTGGTTGGTTTTCTGAGAATTTTTCTTTAATTTTTAATATTGTAAATGTTTTTAAAGAATAGCAAAGACAATAAATAGATAATTTCAAATAACTAATAAATACATTATTATAATTTTATGATATTTAGAATGAAGTTGAGATGATACTATAACTTAAAATTTTGGTTACTTTACATTTCATTGTTTTCTTAATGAAAGGATGGTTATTTGCTCTTTATTCAGGGTTCGTAGCGGCCGGGAAAACCGGGAATACCGGGAAAAGTCAGGGAATTCGTTATTCTTCATAAAAAACAGGGAATAGTCAGGGAATTTTAAAAATATTCATGAAAGTCAGGGAATTTGATGTTTGCAACTGGAAATTTTGTGAAAGCCGGTCCTGGGTTCTTGAAAGAGAAAACTATTTGTGGTTTTGAAACCTTTATAAGAGGTTCTTAGGGTATAAAAAAGATTATGGAGTCCAGTCGAGAAAAAATTTAATGCATAAACACCAATTAGTATGTAAAAATTAACTACAAGTGTCCTGGATTTTATTTTGAAAGTCAGGGAAAACCTGGAAAAGTCAGGGAATTCATTCTTACTTTTGAACTATGAACCCTGTTATTGCACTTACAGTTGCTAATAATAGTATCCCAATGGAAGGAAATTTTATTAGGTATTATTTTTGTGTAAATATACCCCCTCATTATTTAAAAGATGCAACAAACGTGAAAAACGCACTTTATTAATGTAATTATGCAAAAACAAATCAATGTTCTACAAAGAACGCTATTGTATGTAGATGGCCAAGTTTCATTCTCGTCCAATTTTTCAAATTTTGCAAAATACCAAATCATAGAAATGCAGCTAATACTGATTCATGGTGAATGGATATAAAATATCTTCATTAAAATAATTATTCTGCATTTTTGCATTTTGTCGAGAAAGTACTTGATACTCTTTTTAGAATACTGAATGACAATACTAATATTTGCCATTCAGGGCACATTTGATGATATTTTAACGTAATATTCTTTAAAATGTAAGTAATCAGCAAATATCTGAGAAAATTGAAACTGTAACCCCTACAATGCCTATATCAGTGAAAAGAGAATTTGATTTCCTATAATATGATGCAGAAAAATACAGGGTGTTCCATTTGAATTTAAAAAGTTTTGTCCGTTTTAAGTTTTCAAAATGTAACGTGAAAAATGAGACACTTAATATAATTTTTTTCAGGTAATTTTGTCGGCGGAAGCTAGTGCATCTTATGTTCTTTGTGTATTCCGAAAAGCGAGTAAAAGCTCCCAGAACGAAGAGAGATATAAAGAATTTTCGAAACGTTTACATCTGTCAAAATTTTTATAAAATGTCTGTTATCTCGAAAACGGTTAGATTTAGGTACAGGCAAGCTTTAACATTTATTTTTAATTTATCTTGTCGATAATGCAATAATATATAGGGTGTTCCATTTAAAATAACGAAGTTGACACCTACTTCCGGTATAACCGGATGTGCTACATTGATGGAATTATTTTCATTGAAGAGAGCTTATCTGATAACACCCGTACACAAAATTTCAGAGTCATATTGTTTTTGGTTCCTCTGAAACGTCTAATAGGCCACTTACCGTGAAGAACCCTGTATAATATTAAAAAGGCTTTATTAAAAATATTCTTAAAAAAAATTTATTCACTGTACCTATTTCTACCTATAATTTATATTTCTCCCATCCTCTCTCTCATCTCTTGCCCCCCCCCCCCTATCCCATTGGCTGGTGAAGCCCTTGTCATGACATTTATACAAAATCAACTTATATTTGAACTGACATTATTGAAAGACAAATTAATTTTTTAGGTAACTTATTGGCTCTAACGGGTGACACCACATTGACCTGGTCTTCGCCAGTATTGCCCAAATTGTATTCGAATGACACCAACATCAACCCTTTGGGTAGGCCAATAACGGCAAGTGAAGAATCGTGGATTGGTTCACTGCAATATATAGGAGCTATGTGCGGAATCCTTCCATTTGCCGTCCTAGCTGACAGGATAGGCCGTAAACCAGTATTACTAGCTTTAGCCTTTCCTCACATAGTTTCATTCATAGCCTTCGCTTTTGCGAAGAACATACACTGGTATTATTTTGGTAGATTTTTGGGTGGTGTGTCGTTGTCTTCTGTTTATATAGTATTACCTATGTATGTTGCTGAAATTTCAGAAGACTCGTATCGAGGGATGCTCCTAGTTTCCTACAGCACGTTTGCTAGTTTCGGAGATCTTTTTCCCTATATAACAGGACCGTACATGTCTGTAATGTGGTTCAATTTAACACTGGCTATATTTCCAATTGTTTTTTTTATTTTGTTCTTTTTATTAGCCCCAGAAAGTCCTTATTTCTACGTAAATAAAAATGATTATAAGGCTGAAAAATGTTTGACTGTATTAAGATCAGGGAAGGAAAATTTGTACAATGTAAAATTAGAGATTGACGAGATAAAAAATGAAATTAATAAAAATCAAAAAGGGGACATTTTAAACACACTAAAAAGAAAATATGTCATAAAAGGTTTTTTTGTAGCTCTAGGCTTAAGTTCTCTTCAACAACTGTCTGGTTTAGGAGCTATTTTAGCGTACACACAATTTATTTTCGAAGCAGCTGGTACAAAAATCTCGGCAGAAATCTCATCTATAATTGTAGGAGTAGTTCTATTTCTTGCCAGTTTCGGAGGACCTCTTATAGTGGACAGGAAGGGGAGAAAATTTTTACTGGTGTGTTCCTCTTTGGGAATAATAACATCTGAAATAGTTTTAGGCGCTTACTTTTATTTATTAGACAATAATGGTGCTGATTTGAGTAAAGTATCTTGGTTGCCAATTTTGTGTCTAGTCGTATATACTGTGACCTTCAACATTGGATATGGACCTTTACCTTATACAATAACCTCTGAAGTATTACCATCAAATGTAAAATTCTTCTTGGCTACTATCACAGGTTTCACAGGGTGGTTAATGTCTTTCCTTGTTACAAAATTCTTCAACGATCTTAATGATGTTTTAGGTAGGGGAGGAACTTTCTGGTTATTTTCTGGATTTTGTTCAGTTGGTCTGCTTTTCATAATATTTGTAGTACCAGAAACAAAAGGCAGAAGTTTCCAAGAAATTCAGGCTCTTTTAGACAAATAAATAAATTGTAAAATACATTTTGTTATACTGTTTACAAAATTGTTGATAGCTGTATTTCTGAATAAAATAATTTTTTATATTATTTCTTATTGTTCGTCCAACATCCACATTCCTCTTATCAGTTCTAAAGAAAATTTCATCAGGTCGACTGCTACTATGGCCATAGCTAGGACCAAATGGTCACTAAAATTTGCCAAGAGGGCATATGTTTTTCTTTAACCTACTTTGTACACAGTGTTATTTTATGATAGAACGTCTCGAAATAAGAAAATAAGTTCCTATAATCATGTCAAAAAGATGCTTGGTTTCTGAGATAGGTACCTACAAAGTGTGAAAGTTGAAATTCCTGGAAATTGTTTTTTAATGTATGGATGATAATAATGGATAATGGATAAAGACGAATGAAGAATTATATAGGTATTTCACTTTTTATCCTTTATAGAATGTAATGATAACTGAAAAGTAGAATCGTTTAAAGGCTGTTTACACTGGAAGCCCTAGGTAAAATTTTACATCTTCCTTTCATATTTTTTACTTGCTATGGAACAGAACTTTAAAATTTTGCACATTTTAAACAAAAACAGTCACATTTAATCATTTATTGAATTTTTTTTATATATACTTTTAGGTAATAAAGCAATAGACAAATTTTGGTTAAAAATGTAGATCCAAAATTATTGGACTTAATTAAAAAGAAAAATGGCATGCCAAGAAAGATAGGGCAAAGTCTTTTTTATCTTTTGGAGTATAACGAATGTGTAAATATTGATATATTTATTTTAAATTATTTGATTATATTAAAAAAAAACTAAAAGGAATTTAACTTGAACATTTTGCATCTCAGGAACTAAGCATTTTGAGTCCTATGTGTATATATAGGAACCTTAGTCGAGACACCATATACACAGTGGTGTTTCTATTAACTTTTGGATAATTTACTTTTTTAGATATTTGAATGAAATACATATGACATAGGAAGTTTGAGATACCCAAAAATAAACAGGGTTATTTTTTAATGCATAGAAGGCAAAGTTCCAGTGATAAATAGATTTCAAGTTTCAGTAGCACAGTCACAGAGAGTGCAGTAATTGAAGTTCTAATAATCTAAATCTTTTGTTAAATCAAAGTTATATTACATATATATTTTTTACGGTTTAGACTAACTTACCTCTATTTAAATGTTAACATCTAGAGAATAAAAGCCCTTAGATTGTGATTTTTAAATCTTAAAAAATATTTAATGTACAAACTGCAAAATAGTTTTCCATAATTGATAACACTAGTGGAAATTTAAAATTTATTTTTCTCTGGAACAAAACATCAACCTTTTCATAAAACGTCCTTTCTCAAAAACATTTAGATAAAAATTCTTTACATTAGGTAACATTTATTATTTCCATGTAAGAGAAGCTGCATGATGAAACGATCCCAAGTAAAATGGGGAAACAAAAAGATTTCTTTGTAGTAGAGCTTTTTTTGTGTAATTAGTTTTGTCAAGTCTAATATGATTTAGTCTTCAACTTCAAATAATTTTGCAAGGGTAATCTAATATGTCTACATGAAATATAAACAAACAAAAATAAATAATTTTTTGTACAGGCTGAGTCAGATTTAATGTTGGAAGTGGGATGTGATAGTCTAAAAAAAATAAATATATAGGGTGTAAACAAATAAGTGCAAAAAATTCAATAAGGGGTGATTCCTTGTCCAAAAATGAGGTGATTCTTTCATATAAAAAAATCTTATTTGAACATCCCCTGTGAAGATACAACCGCTTAAAGAGAGTACCAAAAATGTAGTTTCTTTCTGGCATGCCGACAAAGTAACAGAAGTGAAATAAGTAGACGTTTTCTGCTATCGAGAAGGCATTCAGTAAACAATTTGTTGATTTTCCCCTATGGTTGTAAGGGGTAGAAAAAAACGCTCCTAAGACTTGTTTCATTTTGAAATGGTAACATATTAATAAGAAAAAATTATGAAGTATGAAATTAGGTGTGGCTTTTTTCCACTTCTTACAACCGTGGGGGAAAATCAACAAACTGTTTACCAAGTGCCTTCTCGATAGCAGGAAACATCTACTTAATTTCATTTTTGTAACTTTTTGGTATTTCAGAAAAAAATAAAAACTACCTACTTTTTTGGCGCCATTTAAGCGGTTATATGTTCATAGAGGATGTACAAATGAGATTTTTTTATATGAAAGACCCACCTTATTTTCCAGGAAATCAATCCCTTTTTCGCACTTATTTATTTACACCCTGTATAAACATTTTCAAAGGTTGCTTCGTTTTTGAGATACAGTTTTCATAATTTTTCAACTAATGAAATTTGCAAATAAAATGAGCATAATCACTATAACTAACGAGATTTAAAAAAAAAAAACTAGTTCAAACAATAATAAGAAATTAGTTTGACATGTTCAACTAAAAATTGTCTTAATATCTAATAATACAAAATAAAAACGTCGATGCCGTGAAATTTGAAGGGTCTGTCTCCTGTAATAAAGAAAATGTGACCATTAATTATAGGTAGAACATGTATGCCATAAACATTAAATTTGGCAGGCGCAATGAAAGCAAATTTAATTAATCTGTAGGTATCGGTTCAAATAAATCTCATGATACCTATGTCATTCTAATCCTGAAAGCATTTTATTCGAATATGATAGAGTATTATATACCAGGATGTTGCGCAGTGCCTGATTTACCTATAGGCTGGTGTAGGCTGCAGCCTACAGGCCCCCACCTAGGGGCCCCCACCATGATAACAAAAATTTTTTTTAAGACCCCATCATGAACAAAAAAGAAAAATTATTCTGAAAAATATAATTCTTTATTCTTAAAATTTGAATAGGCCCCCACCAATCTTCAGCCTACAGACCCCCACCACTGTAAATCAGGCACTGGACCACTGGTGTTGCATTAAGAAAATAATGTTTGGACCGTCACAGCTTTCACTTATAAGTAGATATAAGTATAACAACTTTAGTCAGTAAAAAAGGGTGTCCACAGATAACTTTCCAGAGGGGATAAATATAAAAAGAAATTATTAAAAATTTAATGATTCGATGTGATAAAAATTTAAAATTAAACTTTTCTCCTTTAATTATTCCTGCATTTTGGATCCAAATTCACATACCTACCTATTGCAGTTTTGTTTTATAACTATATAGTAGGTATATGATACGCATCTTTAATAATAAATATAATTTTAACATCAAGCTATATTATATATAATAAAAAGAGATAAAAAATATTACCTGATGCCTTGTGTGACTCACTGAAAATACCTAGGTCTACCTGACCGATTAACCGAAAAATATACAGGTATATACATGTATTAAAAGAATACCAGTATATTTACATTAAAAATCCGTTATAAGGGAGAAAGGTCACATAATTAAATAGTAAATAGGTACAGGTAGGTATAGTAGTTTACTAATAACCTGGTTTTTAATTTCAAAGCTTTAGCTTACATACGTGTAAAAAGAAACTTGAATAGGTATCAAAATTAGGTACTTAATTTTTTCCGAGCAGGTAGGTACCTACCGTCTATTAATACTTTTATTTTAATTTTTTGTTGGAGCTGTACCCTGTACCAATTATGGTTGTGAGGGGTTGATGTGCTGACCTTCCTCAATAATAGAGGGAGGTTATTTATTCCCGCCAAACAAATAATCAAGGCGCATGTCCGTTCAATAAGGAATGCGTTACTTCCCGCCATTAGCCATTGCGTTTCCATTTTCCATTTGCTTCGCGAATATTGTGGTGTTGTCCACGTGTAGGTAAGTTTTTATTTGTTTATTTCTCAAAATAATTTATGTTTTGTCGCTTTTATGTGTTGTTAATTCTAAAGTACTCAAGTTTCCTCTACGTATTTGTGGCTTGAGTGTGATTGCAAGTTATATTCATTACGTTTATTTAACATAACCTTGCTTTTTGCTCTCCTGGTGCAGGCTTGTGTTCTGTCTATTGTTGCATGATATAAATTTTATTTGTGACTAGATCGAACACTCGCCTATAACGGGAGGACGATCTTCGTTTTGTGGTGTTTAACGTTGCATTATGTATTTCTACTTTCTATCCAATGTTCAGGATATAGGAAAAGGTAATTCAAGCAACAGGTTGGAGTCTTTTTGTCGGATATATTGTTCTTTGGTGATCTAGTTGTATGAGTATGATATATTTCATAAAGCTGGTTCAGCAAAGCACAATGTATTCGACTGTACTTCGTGGGATAATATGGAAAGAAGGTACGAAGAATAAACGGAGAAATTTAGCTCGAGGGAATCTGGTTTGAAGGAACTCCTGGTGTGATATGTAGTTTCGTATTATATCACAGCCAGTAGTTACCTACGAAATGGGTTCCCTTTTTCTTCATTCAGTCGTAGGAATGTGTATAAACAAAGATGTATTTCAAGTGTAATCCGTTAATAATTAACTCAATACTTTTTTCAACAGAATTATTTGGAAGATGTTCCTACTTGTGTTTTTTATAAAGTAAATAGTTATATTTAAGTTTTACAGTTACAATTTTAATAAATTGGGATTGTTTCAATTGCGTTAAAATCTATCCAATATTGTTCAATAGTGTTACTTCGATATTAGTAAATGTTCTACGTAACGTAATAAAATACATTTTACAGTTTGGAAAAATATATTTATGAAAAAATCGTACAATATCTATCACTGATTGCTTTCCATAGTCTTACTTTTACTGACTTTTGGCTTCATACAATCATTGCACTCTTCAGTGCATAAGCATTCCTCTTCATTTAATTCGATTTTATTCGATACAAGAGTAATGTGACTGCTGTAGATGTCATCACACTTTGTCACATCTGCTTTACTACTTTTTTTAATAGGACCAGGTTGATACAAATCTTCGGTGTGATGAGGTTCAGCTTCACCCAATTTAACGATTATTGTTTCTTTAGATTTTGAAGATAAATCCTTTGTAGAACCTAAAAAAAGTTTATCTTTTACATAGCCACAATGACATTAAAATAATGATGATAAAATATGAGTGGTGTCCAAAAACGAAACTGCCGTACTTGGGTGAAACTAACTGATACATTTTTTTATTTTTTTGTTACAACTACATACATATTTTATTGAAACTTATATAAGGGGGTTATTGGGTAGTCAATATGAATATACGCTATTTGTATCTAAAACATAAATAAGGTCACTTACACAAAAAGTATTTTTTAGAGTTTGAACAAAACAAGTGTTTTTTTAAAGCACTTAATGGAAAAAGTATAATTGCTGTATATAGGTAGTTAAAATATGTAAGTTGAGAAAAAAAAATGAATCCAATTTTCTGCTGCAGGTATTAATTACAGATGTCTTTTGAATAAAAGTAAGTTGGCTTAAGAGAAAAATAAATTTATACTAAAATATTGTTTAAAACATGAACTCTAAATTTTAGGTGAAAAATAAGGTTATATTCTTATTCAACTACCACACTGTATTATTGTAATATTTAAAAAAGTGACGGAGTTGTCATAAAAAAAATTAAACAAAAAATTTCTATGGGGACCTGGAAATTTTTAGGATAGTAAAATTGTATTAAAGTAACTTGATCTTCAATTTATTTACACCTAAGGAAACTAACCTTTGAACTCAGTGTTCACAACCTGAAGTGAGGCAGCTATCGTACCCACAGCGTAGAGTTATCGTAAAACGAATAAAAAAATTAATTAAACGTAATATTGATATTTTTGCAAACGCTTTATAGTTTATCACTTGTAAACTACCGTTTTAAAATTAAAAGAGCCTTTTTTTACTATATGTTTTATGTATGGTATGGACCTAAACCAATTCCTCCCCCTCTACTTTAAGATTAATAGTGGCGGCAACATTTTAAATTAGTTTGGAAAAATTGTACTGTTCCCAAGATCCAGCGTACTATTATTTTCAATTTATGAAGAAAAAATGAATATGAAAGGATAGTAGGTTAGTGACAAATAAAACCAAGGACTTTTTCATTTTACGTCGATATATTCGATATTCTCGAGAACAAAAAATATAAATATACATGTAACTACATATCGACGCGTTACTATAAAAACATGCTATCTCAAATTTAGCTTGGAAAACATGGTATCTAAATTTGTACTTGAAAAACATGCTACCTCAAATTAAGCTCGCTCAGATCTTTAAGAAAAAACATGCTATGTCACAAAATTAAATTTTACTAGAAATAAGTTGGCTGCATTGGCGCTGAAGTGCACATTGAATGATTGAAACCGTGCACTTATAATAAACTTATATAATATATTTTTTTAAAAGTAAGGAATATTTATGTTCAAGTACACTGTTTATTTTATTTGTTTCATTCAACATTTTTCAATTAATTTTGTTAACTTATTGTTATAAACGACAAAATTGTTGATTAAAAAAGTAGAATAATATGCAGTATGCTGCAACATGTACATTACTCGACATTTTTTGAAATAACATAAAAAAATAGTCTACCTTAATATATAAATATGTTTATTATTACTAAAAATTATTGGATTTTTTTCATACAAGTTTGCTTTGATATAAAAATTAAAAGCGCACTCTTATCTGATTTATAGTCACTACTCTTCCTTTTATTCTAAAAATAATTATATATGCCTTAATGCAGACTCCAAGGAGACTGCAATAAAAATGATTATATTGGACCAGGCTAGGCTCCAAATCCCGGGTCCGAATCGATCTTACCTGGACAATATGCCCGTGTAGAGCAGCTATACCTGGATTGTTTTGGCAATTGCTCTTAACTTGCATTCAGATAAAGTCTTGATATTTACATACAGTTTTGTATTCATAAATGCATAATTAAAAACATCAAACATTTTTCAGTTTTTTTGTAAAATATGGTTTTTACAATCGTTACTTTTCTAATAAGAACAAGATGCAACAATTTGTAGAAATTATTCATAAAATTTCATTAATAGAGTTAACATAATAACCAGAATATAAATATAATGTTAAAGTTGAATGATATGTACGATAAACATATGTGCTCGGGGAACCGGGAAAAAGTGCCATGCATATCATCTGCTCTGCGCCCGTCCCATCAATATCCAGTAAATCATAAAGTACCTGTAATAAAAGTGTCGCATACCTGCATTTCACTTCCAAAGTCTATGCAAACACGCAGCTACCGTACAATTAAGAAGTCATTTGTTTTTATTGAGGTGCAGTAAGAACGATTCGAACCCGGAGTTTGGGGCCTAGCCTCGTACACTATATAATCCTTTTTATTGCAGTCTCCTTAGAGTCCGCATTAGGTATATAAAATTATTTTCAAAATAAATCGTGCATTCCAGATTTTGTGAAAAAAAAATATAAATGTATCAAGAGTAATAATAATAATGTCACTACCCCTCATTCTAACCACGAGAATTAGCCCAGAAGTCGGCGACTTGTGCGGGAGAAGAGGCGGCATATTATTATTATTAAGCAGGCCGCATTTGTGCCCAGGAACGATTTGTGTTCATAGGCCCTAACCACCATTCAGTGCAGGAATGAGGGAAACCTAGAAAACCTCATTAATTAGGGGGAGGGGGCGGTCAAATGCCAACCGGTGTCAATCTCTCACATTGACCCAAGCCAACATTCTTTCAACCTACCATACCTGCACAGAGGGTGCCAATCCTCCGTACAAGCACAGCTAATCTACGGTCTCCTGCCGTGGGAATCGAACCTGGGCAGAATTAGCACACATCGATTTAAGTACTGATGCCTTAAACCGTGCCGCTACTGACTGATGTAGTGACTATAAATCAAATAAGAATGTGCTATTAATTTTTATATCAAAGCAAACTTGTATGAAAAAATCGAATAATTTAATAATAAACATTTTTTTATATTAAGGTATACACTATTTTTTTATAATTTGTTATTTCAAAAACGTTGATTAATGTATATGTGTTGCAGCATACTGCATATTATTCAATTTTTTTAATTAACAATTTTGTCATTTATAACAGTAACTTAACAAAATTAATTGAACAATGTCGAATGAAATAAATAAAATACACAGTGTACGTGAACATAAATACTTTTTAAAAAATAAATTAAGTATATATAAGTTTATTATTATAAGTGCACGGTTTCAATCATTCAATGTGCATTTCAACACCAATGCAGCCAACTTAAATTTCTAGTCAAATTTAATTTTGTGTGAGATAGCATATTTTTTCTTAAAGATCTGAGCTAGCATGTTTTCCAAGCTAAATTTGAGAGAGCATGTTTTTGTAGTAACGTGTCGATGTAATCTTCAGGTAATAAAGGGACAATGTAAGAATATAGGATTTTCTTGTTAACGTTACCTAAGCCAATGAGCCAATAAATAGCACTGTGAGCAAAAAGAAAGAGTCATCATCATTATTGGCTACCAGGGCAGGAATAAATGAATTTACAAAATTTGCATCAGAATAGAAATTATCGTACAGTTTCAAACCATGCTAGAACTATGACAGTTTCATTTCTGGACACCCTCTTTTTAATAAAGTGTATATTAATCTTATTTTTCATATCAATTAATAAAAATTCTTTTAGAAAAATGAATATAATATAATGCTTGAAAATACCATATGATGACGATAATGACGGCAGTATAACGGTATCTTCAGATTTCTTTAATTCAGGTGATTTTCGGTTGCAGGTACAATTTTTATTACCACACAAACATTGCTGACTCATTTCTTCTTCTACATCGGTTCTTTCAGCTGCTTTTCCTGCAAATATGAACATCCACTTTATGAATTCATAATTACAAAATTAGGTAAACAGAACAAAATTTTATTCCTTCTTTTTCAAATAAAAAAATCAGTACATTTTGCATAATAATAGTAATTACTTTTTATTGTTAACTGCCCAAAATGTTTAGAACCAACATGAAAATATTACTCGAGAGTATAATAAGAAAATGCTAAATGCGTTAACAGTTATCGTCTCCATCGGAAAGTTTTTAAGTTATTTTAATAGCATAATTCTTTAATGGTCATATTTTGTAATTTTGTCTTTTTAATGTAGCAAAATGTAATAATTTCACTTTTAAAATATCCATATAATAACAATTATCCACAGTAAACACAAATTGAACTAAATTAAAGGGCAAATGACTTAGCAACTTGGCTTCATGTCATTGATATGAAAAGTCAAGCAACGCTGATCGCTCTTGATGCTCTTCCACCTTCTAGTGACCCGCACATCGGTGTATTCACAGAAGCTATACAGATTTAGACGAGGTTTGTATAGGAAGACATACCATCCCTCGGAAAGGAAGTAAAACCGTTGGTCCCTAGTCTAACCAATGTTAGGCAAGTAAAAGGTCCTTACCCTACAGCAAAATGGGTGTTCGGTAAAGTTTTCAGGTTGGGGATTGCTTGTCTCCTCGCATTGGTATTTAACATTAGTAGCAGAAAGAGGCCGACGTAAAATAACCAAATAGCAAAGCAAAAGCAAGTTAAACCAGATGCAGCATCATATGGTCTTAAATATTTATTTATGACAACATATTCTGTGAAAAATGTTTTATAGTGATGTATGTTTTCAGGTTGGGGATTGCTTGACTCCTCGCATTGGTATTTAACATTAGTAGCAGAAAGAGGCCGAAGTAAAATAACCAAAAAGCAAAGCAAAAGCAAGTTAAACCAGATGCAGCATCATATAGTCTTAAATATTTATGACAACATATTCTGTGAAAAATGTTTTATAGTGATGTATGAGTATGCCTCTACTCTTTGTGAGATTTCAAAATTACAGGCAAAAATAAGTTTATAAAAAAAGCAACCACTGTTGTGGCTTATGGCAAGACATTTACAAAAACAAAATGAATTATACAGAAATTGATTAGAGAAACAAAATTTTCATTCACTTTTCTTAGTAATTAAAAGTCTAAATGAACAAGTAACACATTCTAAAAAAAAAAATTTTTAATTAAATAAAACAACTGATGTATTTAGTTATACCAAAAAGTACTGTCATATCAACATATTTATGGATATAGTTAGTAAATAAAAAAAACTTCTTTTTATGAAAAAAAAATCATTGTTATTAGTATTAGTATCCTCAATCCTCTTTATTTCAGGTGTGAATGAAAAAAAAATTGAGTTGAAGTTTGAACGGTATAAAAGGCCTTATCAGGAATGAAAAAATGATTTTGGTAAACTACCCTTTTGTATAAGATATACAAACACCAACACATAAAAAGTCAATACTAGTTTTGGTAACTAACTAAAAAGATTGTTTTCAAAACATTAACAAAGCGAAGTGCATAATATACCTAGTGACTGGATTTTGCATAAAACGGATTTTTTAAATTATTTTTTCACATATATATGTAAAATACCTAAAATTGTTAGCTATTTATATGTTTCTTAATTGACACAGTGTATTATTTTCTCAGGATGAAATCAGTTACCTACTTATATTTATAATCATTTCTTTAGTAGAGAACACCTTGTTTGCGTTGGCTTACTTACAATTCAATTTTCGTACATCTGAATTCAAGCAGAAGTTTTTAACAAAAACGACGTCCATAAAGGGGAATATAAAAAAATGTTCACTATTTTTAACTCTATTTGTAGATCACAGTAAAACAATGATAAAACAGGTAGAGCCACCCAGGAATTGACGAACTTAACATTAAACTAGAACAACTTTAATTTTTTCGCATTAAAAGATCACGGGGAACATGTAAACATCAGAAAATGACTTTTCCAGTTTTGTTCAGCAAATTTGTCAAGATACTCAATAACTATGGCATGCATCTGTTAATAGTGTCCTAAAAGCATTATGTGGGGTGTGATTATGTTTATAGTACTGTATGCGATATTCTGTATGTTAACAGTGTGCAAAATTCGGGAAATGTAAGATAAACATACAAGGTAAAAATATGCTTTTTTTTCCTTATTTTGAATGTAGTTAGTTGTCTTGTAACAATGTTATTCGATATCAAAAATCGCTATTACTATCTAACTTTTAGACTGTCATATTAATAAAAATTGTATTATTTTTTAAGTAAATTAATGGTGCACATTATTAATTTGTTGCCTTTGCCTTAATCATCAACTACATCTTCAAATTATGTATTTGTTTTTTATATTTACCTTCTTTGGCACCATCTTCACCCGAATCAATTTTACACTGACACTGCAACTGCCCACAACCACATGTTTCATCAGCTGGTTTCCAAGATATTATTGCTGGATTTAAGTTACAGTCGCATGTTTCTACCTCACAGGTGCAGGGTTGTGTAACGTTTTTCCTCCAACGACTATAAGCACCAGTTCTCCTTTTTTCACCAATCAGATTTACTAGTTTGTATCTATTGGTGTTAGGAGTAATGTGTATTCGATCTGATACTATAGTCTCTACTGACTCAGTATCTTGAGGTGCCTCTGGGGGTTCGCAAATACAAACTTCTGTCTTTGCTGATTTTTGTGATGCTTTTAATGATCCTTCTCCTCCAGCTGTCTTTTGACTTGCCAGTTTGTTTATATCTGAAAGAAGCAAATAAGGAATGTTTCAACTTGTATTTAAAAAATAAAATATATTTTAACGTTTCAAAATATCAATCACAATCCAAAATATTCTCACTAAAACTTCTATAAGGTACTGTTGCAATAAGAAAATGTTTAATAATATTTATTTTAACAAATAATGGCAAAATACCATCATACGGAAACTTAATAATGAGTTTAGTTTAAAGTTAATTAATTAGTCAGTCTAATTAAAGGTAAAAACAATGTATAGTCCAATCAATTTCCTATTGCATTAAGAAACATTAAAAATATGTTATTTAATGACTTACTTCTTTCTTTTGATTTTGGTTCCCAGTTATTTAGCCCCAAAATTTCCTCTGTCTGATCAGAATCTAAGTCTTCAGTTGAATTTATATGAGATTCACACATTTTGCAACGAGATTTACCAATCAGCTACAAATTAAATGTTTGATTAAATAATTACACACATGTATAGAGATAGAGTCATTCACAAAACTTGTGCCTCATCTTTTTTTAAATTTTTGTTTAGAAAAAATAGTAAAGACCAAAGCCTCAGAAGATTGTCTTCAATATGAAAGCAGTAGGTAGATAAGAAAATGAAGGTGTGACATTGTCCACTTTTTTTTTTTTTTGGAATATCCTCAATTCTTGAAATTTGAGAATTTGCACAATGTCTTATAAATACAGGGTGTAACGTAAAGGTTGGGAATAAATTAAACGGTGGATTCTTTAGTATAAAAAATAAATTTTTGTCATATGAAGTTATGCTCTACGGGTTTTCTTTTTCAAGCTACAGGGCATTAAAAAATTTCAAAATATTTAGTTTTTCTCCAATAACTTTCGAACATTAGAAGATAATGGAATGAAATTTTATCCATAGCTTAATTTGATAATCGCCTAGTAACAGGAAAAATATTGGCTTTGTAAGTTACTCAGTGGCGTGCGTACGTATTACACCGTAAGGTTTTTCGAAGAAAATTGTGGTACGCCACTGGTAAAAACATTTTTTTAATATTTTTGTGTAATCTACATTTTATTTTAAACAAAATTACCCTCTTGTGTTTTATTCCTAGCTCTTGTCATTTTTCCGTAAATAAAACTTTTGCAAATACCATTTTTCCCGCTGCTAACATAGGAAAATGAAAATAACAAAAACATTATGATGTATGCTTTGACTCAGCTACCGAAAATGGTCAAACACGCATTAAAAAAGACTTGTTTGTTTTGAAAATGATATTAAAATATCACATTATTTTAACAATAATAAAAAAAACACTAGTGACTTGGAATTTAAAGAATTCATTGAGTAGGTAATAAGAAGTAATGAACAAGATTACAAAAGGTGCTGAAAATATTGCCCCCCCAACTTACAATACATTTTTCAATGCATTTTCTCATAAATTCTCTTACTCGTCCAAAAATACCAGGCATATCTCGAATTTGCTGACAGCCAATTTCAACTCTTTGACGAAGAATCTGTACATCAGAAATGGGAACGGAATAAACTATGTTTTTTAAGTGCCCCCTACACATAATAGTCTAATGGATTAAGTCCGGGAGAACGAGCAGGCCACGCTTTTGGCCCTCCACGACCTATCTATTTATTGGGGAACGTTTCATTGAGGGCGCCGTCATGCATAAACCACATGTTCTGGCGTGTTTCAATTGGAACTTCTTCTAATAAAGGTTGTAATCTGTTTGAAGGAAATCCAGATACGATAAACCGCCTAGTCTGTTTGGTAGTACTATGGGGCCAATAAAAAAAATCGCCAATTATTCCGGCCCAAATATTAATTGAAAATCGTTGCTGGTGCCGGGATTGTATTATTCCATGCGGATTTTCATCAGCCCACATATGACTATTGTGGAAATTAATTATACCATCCCTTGTAAATCCAGCTTCGTCGGTAAATAAAATGGATGGGTGGAATAACAAGTTCCGATTGCACTTATTTAAAAACCAGGTACAAAATCTAAGACGTGGTGCATAATCTTCGACAGAAAGCGCCTGAACTCTTTGCAGATTATCATGCAGGATTCGTTGGACAGTCATATGACTTACTCTCTCCATTCTTCCAATTCTTCTAGTACCTACTTGATTTACGATTCACCTCGATCATCTGAAGGATGTGGTACTTCAAGTTGTACTGTCCTTACATTTCGAGATCTTCCGCCGGAGGTGCAAGGTTTTAACGAGCCGGTTTCACGTAAGCGCACATGAATTCTCGAAAAAGTCTTCCTATTTGGAATACACCGAGCTGGAAAACGTTCAACATAAAGACGCACAGCTAACATAGTATTCCCCTTGGCAAGGCTGTAAATAAAATGCATATCTGCTAATTCTGGAAATGAGTATTCCATTTCTAACAGATCTAAACCAAAGTACAACCGCTTAAGGAAAGCTAGATGTCATGACTGACAATGATGTTTTGTCTGAAAACATCTGAAAACAAATTTTGGTGGCTTGGTCAAAGCATACTTATAATGTTTTTATTTTCATTTTCCTATGTTAGCAATAGGAAAAAATGGTATTTACAAAACGTTTATTTACGGAAAAGTGACAAGAGCTAGGAATAAAACGCAAGAGGGTAATTTTGTTTAAAATAAAATGTAGATTACACAAAAATATTAAAAAAATGTTTTTACCAGTGGCGTACCACAATTTTCTTCGAAAAACTTTACGGTGTAATACGTACGCACGCCACTGAGTAACTTACAAAGCCAATCTTTTTCCTGTTACTAGGGGATTATCAAATTAAGCTATGGATAAAATTTCATTCCATTATCTTCTAATGTTCGAAAGTTATTGGAGAAAAACTAAATTTTTTGAATTTTTTTAGCGCCCTGTAGCTTGGAAAAGAAAGCCCGTAGAGCATAAGTTCATATGACAAAAAATTATTTTTTAAACTAAAGAATCCACTGTTTAATTTATTCCCAACCTTTACGTTACACCCTGTATATAATATGACTAAGTATATTGTTCTCAGGAAAAGCAGATAATATCAAAAAATGTACAAATATGTAAAAAAATATATACGATGGGGTAGAATGTTGTCAATGACCCTGTAAAAAAGTTTAAATGTCTAAAAATTAGTACTAAGTAACACCTTCACTTCATTTAATCTCCTTTTCTGTAATTCCTTTAGTGTAGTGGTAAACAGATTTTTATAATAACCATGAATTTTTTCCTCGGTAATTTTTGCTGCTTTCCTCATTTCTTCTGATATGTCTAAACATTCAGTACTTTCTGTTTCACCTGGTACTTTGGTCTTGCTGCTCTCTATAATGGAGCATTTGATTGGCTCTAAATTTTTTTGCATTACACTCTTCCAGAAGGCAATGCATTTTTCTACGTCTTCTTCAGAACTTTGCTCAAAAGTAAAAGTCTACAAAAAATGTAATTTTACTGATTCGCCACAAATTAACAATAAAGCTGCAACAAAATGTTGAAGGGAACCATCCACGATATTCACATATCCGTTAGATTGGACACCTGTACAGTACTTGGAGACGGAAACTGGTAGTAGCAGTATGAGTAAACAAATCGTTAATTCTTTATATCTTCAAAAATTGATTTGTATTGGAGCCAACACCAGCCAGATATAATATGTATAATGTATGTAGGTTCTTTTCTGATATAAGACTAATAGGCAAATTTTTAACTATGGGTTCTTGAACTGAAAGAAATATTTTCTAAAATTTCAGGAGTTATACCCTTTTTTTTCTAAATACAATAATAACCAAGACGTTTCATTGACAGTACTTTAAAAAAATTGTAAATATTTCATGTAGCAATAAAGTTATAAATATTTCATAAATCAATAAAGTTAATCAAAATATTTTGATATTCCTATGCAATCAGGTATGTGTCTATAAACTAATAGAGGTCGAAGCAAATGCAATCTCTCAGATACTCTATGTATAAGATGGTCTGCCATAAGTGTTAACATCATATTTTCCCCACAATCTTTCGAGATATAAAAAATTGAATGACTAAAAGTTATACAAAATATTTCAAGTTTTCTGTTTTGTAAATCGTAAGCATCAGATCACAGAGTTACAGGCCTATGAAAGGTTTTTCTTCAATTCATTCAACATTATTTCCATAGAACGTTTTTTCATGTTTATGTTTACAGCCACATAAGTTTGACGGGTCTATCTTTAATAGTAAGGGAGATATGGCCAATAGAGTTATGAACCTAATATAATAGAAAAAGTAATAGTAGGTTTAAGGCTTTCACTGCATGTGTTGATATTTGAAGTGCCAAGCGTTTTTGTGGTATGTATCTGGTCGCTGCCATTTGCAAAGTTATGCAAAGTTATGCAGTTATGTTTGACCTGTTGTTCTCAGGTTAGGCTCTACTTGGGTTACTATGGAACCATTCCTCAGACATTCTGTAGTGGCCTCTGCAACTAGTCATATCCAATGCATGCTTTCAAATGTTTAAATGTTTCGCCATTCTCCAATATGAGTATCATCATAACAAAAGCTTCACCGTGACAGGTCCTCTCCACTAAAACATTCTATGTAAAAATATACAAGAGTGTTCCATTTAAAAAACCCTTTAGATCTGTTGTCTGTAAACGGAAGTGTAATAAATTAAAACCCAAATTCACAATTTTCAGTGGAAAATAAGTACGTAGACAATTGTACCGACTGGTAATTAAGTACTTTCTGATATCAAAGGGGGTGATACTTTAGGTTATTTTAAGCTAAAAGGTTCCTATGAACGTTCAAATGACAGTTTTCAAGATACAGAGTTGTGAAGTTTTTGGAAGGTCTTACACAAATATCTCCGAAGGTGTTTGATGTATCTAGTCTAACTGAATTAAACTTTTGGTCAATGACTTATGTATGATGTAACGTATACCTATTTATTATAAATTTGTAATATATTTATGATGAACCGTATAGACTTTAGTAATTAAGAAAGTTCTTTTTGTAAATACAATTGCAACCAAAATATTATCCTGACAATGATTTTTTCAACAAATCCACAACTAGTAATGAGAAAAAAAGTAATACTTAGTACTTATGATGACCTTATGAGACTTTTGCAATGCGGATTTTCATTGGATCAAACGTGAAAATTTTTTAAATTATTTACAGCATTTCTCACAAAGTTTCATCGCTCCATAATATTTTTTGATTGAAATTTTCGTCATTATCGATATTTTCTAACGACCACCTGGAAAATTGTATCCTTTTTTCGGAATCACCAGGATGCAAAATTTGTACTTTATGTAGGTGGTATGGGTGCAGTTCTTCTCGGTTTAAAATTCTCCAGACGCTACTTTGTGGAATACCTACTTGCGTTGATATTCTTCGGACACTGGTGGAAGGATCAACAACAACAGCAGCTATTACATTTTCTTATAAAATGCTTGCATCTTCCAAATTACCTCTTATTCAGATATCTCTAATTTTAACATTTCCGGCCTCACTGATTCATTGGAAAACTCGTTGGAATACGTGCTGTGAAGGTTGTCTTCTGTTTGGAAACCTGCGTAGATACTATTGTGAGGCCACCAACGAATTCCCATGACAGAAACCGTATCGGCATATTCGTTGTTAGAAAATTTGATAATTTGATATCTTGTTGTTTTGTAAACTTAATTTCTTGTAACTTCGAGTACTGTAATTAATTTTGACATGTACGCTTGTAAACAACTTTGTTTTTTATAATGACAGGTACCTACTAGATAAAAACAAATAAAATCTTTACATACATTTTTCTACGAATTAATGCGGGCGATACTTTAGACCCAATTTACTTGAAAACAGTTCATTTTTGAGCTATGAAACGAGCACATTTTTTGTTCAGAATCGATTGCAGATTCAGGAAAACAATCAAATTACATAAAACTAGGATATGCAAAAGTTATGGAGACATAACCTGGATGACAAGTTCGCCTAAGCCGCCCCTGGCGTCAGATAGAAATAAGCACCATGTAGTTTTAATGACCTTTAATAGATGTACACTTCACGCAAAAGTTACCCTGAAAGGGTTTTTGAGTTATTGCGGAAAGTTATTATTTTTTTCTAAACAACACCCTGTGACTCAGTCAGAGTGCATCACAGAAAAATGTTTTATAAGAATTTTAATCTTATTTTGGTCTGGTCAACCCCCTGGTAAATTTTTGTACGCTGACACTGGGACACCCTGTATATATACCTACATAATGGACGCGCATCATCACAGCTTACTATAAAAAACTTTTACAAAAAGGCCTTAATTGCCGGCCGTAGTTCTCTACACCGAAAAAGGCACGCAGGATGGACCTGCGGTAACGCAGCGGCACTGAACGGATGTGTGTACATTCCACTAGAATTCTTACTTTGCTGCTTGTCTATAATTTTTCACTACCAAGTTACCTGTTACCTTATATAACGATTCGCCGGAAAGAACCTCATCAACATCACCCGATTCAAAACTTGATTTTTTTTCATTTTTATCCGCATTCTGTAATATATTTATGTTTTCTGTTTTGGCTTGGTATGCTTTAGTAACATTGGCTTTTTTAATGCATTCCGCTGACAATAGACTATGAGATTCTGATTCTTGTGAACTCTCTATAGAAAATGTTTCTATCTCTTGATTGCTTGGCATTACTAAAAAATAGCGTTTAACAATAGAACATTCTGCGGATATTACTCACTTTATAATAAAATTGGTTAAAATATATAAAATGTATGAAATTATAACTGAATTCTCGAATGTGAACAAAAAATGACAATATGTCAAATACTTTTACTTCATAATTATTCTATTGCAAAAAAAATAAATATACAGGGTGTCCGAAAAGGTCATGTCAAAAATGAAGGGGTGTACAGAGGAGCTCAAACTAATTGTAGTACTTCATAAAAAAAGATTTCCTATCGGGCTTCGTTGTGGAGTTATTCGCCTTCAAAGAAAGAAGTTTGAAAAACAAATTCAATTATAACTTCTAAGTCGTTACTACAACAATGAAATTTGGGCAATTAAAGTAACTCATGGTAATGTTCTTTTCCAAGTGTAAACTGATATTCAATAAGCCTGAATTATACAGGAGCAGACAAAATGATTCATTTAAATTTATACATCTTTGACGGTGTTGCCAAATTTGATATTTTTCCATCATAGTTCGATTCCTCGCTCACTTTGTCAAAAAAAAGGTATACCGTACTTCAGTCGATATCTTGTACCGTTTTTGAGAAAATCGAATTTTATTAATAACATATGTACATTTATTGTATCAAAAATGTGACTAACATTTTTGTAAAAATCTTGGTTTCTATAGAATTTAAAGAGAAAAGGGAACTGAAAGTAAGATGTTCAATATGTGCACCTTGAACTTCAATGCATGTTTTTGCTCAAACACCTCTGCTATACTCAAAATAACATGTGGTGTTCATTTCTAATGATGTCGGCGTATGTAATTATGCGATTTAATAATTTTTCCCTACTATTTATATACAAGAATTTGATAAACAAGACTTTTAAGATGGTCCCGAAGACAAAAATCGAGAGAATTAAGATCGGGGCACCGAGGCAGCCACGGAAAAGTACTACCTCGATCCATCGATCAGGAAATGTATTTAAATAAGCCCTTGCTGTCCTGCTAAAATGGGGTGGTGTACCATTGGGCATAAGCCACATGTTATTTCAAATATTTAAAGGGACGTCTTCCAATAATGGATTAAGATGTTCTTGCAGTAAATGTAGGTATTTATCCCATTTAAAGCGTCATCAAATGATATGTGGTTCCACTAAGTAGTTTCCAATTAGGTATAAACTTCCATGTATTAATGATAAATTTGTGTTAGTGTTTTGTCTGAATAATAAATAGTATGGGGGTTTTCGTCAGTTCAAATATGCAAATTCTATTCTATTTGGAAAGCGGTTGGCGTAAATCCGAACAGATTCAGAAGCATTACATTGTGCAAGTTCGTAAATTAGCTCTCTGTAGCTAAAATCCTCCATGATATTGAATCAACAAATGGTGTCAAAATGATTTATGACAAATATCTAACTGCTAATTATACATATTTGTTGACAGTCGCCTCAATTTTCAAGATTTTTGCAAAAATGTTAATATCGCATTTTTAATACAATACATTTATTGTTAGTAAAATTCAATTTTTTCA